CTCTGACCAAGTGAAACTTTTTACTATAAAAGTAAAGCTCAGCTGTGGGGGATACAGAGCATTTTCAATGGCTAGTCAAGAGACTGTTAAACAAACTACCTTGGGAACTAAGAACCACCAATGACCCCAGCAACCTTTCAATACAAGTGCAAAGCATACTTCTCTGACCTGCTTTTTTCCACATAAACACAGTCTGTTTGCTTTAAAAAATGTCCCAAAAGCTCTCTAATGTTGTCTACAGCACAGGCCATTCTTCCCCTAGAGAAAAGAAAAAGGCAAGCACAACTTCACATATGGATGTTAGTCATATTGCTCAACACACAATGGGAAAGTGTTCATGGCCTCTGGGAGCAAGAGTGGTATAAGAAAAGTATTCCATCCAATTTTCTTTCTTTGCTTCTTGAGAAGAATATCTTAAGAAAATGGTTCAGGAGACCGAAACACTCTAGTGGTGTACTACCCACTTTTTCTTTTATTTTTAAAAGAGAGGATTTTCATTTGGATGTTATGAAGCTATGAAAATAGGCCATTTTCCCAATATTCACCTCTGTTTTATTCAATCCATTCATTGGGGATGCCCAGTTATATCTAAAATATGCTGATACACACAATAAGAAAAAAAGATCCTTCCAGAATTGATCAGTTCTTCAAAAAAAAGTTCTTCAAACTGCCTCTGAAAAAGGCCTTAAAATTTATGATCCTACTTAGTATACTGGCACAATAAATGTCCCATGACATTTCCCACCCCCTAAAAATTAAGTTGTACACTCTTCATCTTGAGCTTCTTCAGAGACTTATTCTAATCTATCATATTGCTTAGAACACCCTGGGTGCATCTACACATGCAATTAATGTGAAGTAATAAACTCCAGCATTTATTGCATCAGAGTTTATTGCTTCCAGGTGCACCATTTGAATGTGAGCCCAGGACCACAGCAGGTTGAGCTGGGTTGGAACAGCCCCAGCAAGCAGGCAGCCCTGGGAGTTAGCCTGCCAACCCAGGGTTGTTCCTGCCTGGCTCAATGTGATGCGGAGGAGCTGGCTGGGGCACAAGGATGCTCCAGTGTGGGGCTAGCCAGAAGGCAGCCCCTGCACTGAAGCACTCTCGTGCCCCATCCAGACATGTCAGTGTCTACATGTGATCTGTTGCAGAGTAAAAAAAGCTCCACATTTACACTTGCATTTATAAGCACTGCCCTACCAAAGAGTTTATTAATTTACTCCAGTTTAATAGGGGCAAACATGTAGATGCCAAGATGTTTGCTGCAGAGCTAATTCGTAGAATCATAAAATTACAGACCTATACCGGTACATGGGATTGTTCTGTCCTAAGTGCAGAAGTTTGAACTTCTCTTTATTGAACCTCATGAGTTTTCTTTTGGTCCAATCCTCTAATTTCTAGAGACTACTCTGAATCCTAACCCTACCCTCCAGCATATCTACTACTCCCCACAGCTTGGTGTAATCTGAAAACTTGTTGAGGGTGCACTGTATCCCATCCTTCAGGGATGAAAGTATTGAACAAAACTGGCCCCAGAACCACTCCCTGGGACACTCTGCTTGATACAGGCTGCCAACTGGACATCGAGCCGTTGACTACTACCCTCTAAGCCCAATGATCCAGCCATTTTTCTGTCCATTTTACAGTCCATTCAGCCAACCCATACCTCCTTAGCTTACTTGTGAGAATGTTGTGAGAGACTGTATCAAAAGCTTTACTGAAGTCAAGGTATATCACATCCACTGGTGTCCCTGCATCTACAAAGCCAGTCATCACATCATACAAGGCAGTCAGGCTGGTCAGGCATGACTTGCCCCTGGTGAATCCATACTGACTGTTGCTAATCTTCTCCAAGCGTTTAAAAATGGATTCTGTGAGGATCTGCTCCATAATTTTTCCAGGGACTGAGGTGAGGCTGACTGGTCTGTAATTCTGTGGATCCTCTTTTTCCTCTTTCTTAAAGATGAGCACTATATTTGCCCCTTCCCAATCATCTGGGACCTCTCCTGATTGCCATGAGTTTTCAAAGATGATGGCCAGTGGCTCTGCAATTATATCAGCCAACTCCTTCAGCACCCTTGGGTACATTGCATCTAGCCCCATGGACTTGTACATATCCAAGTTTCTAAATAGTCCCTAACCAGTTCCTTTGCCATGGTTGGCTTCTCAGCTCCTCCCTAAACTGTGCTGTCAGGTGCTGAAGTCTGGGAGCTGACCTTGCCTATGAAGACTGATGTGAAAAAGGCATTGAGTACTTCAGCCTTTTTTTGTATCCTCTGTCACTAGTTTGCCTCCCCCGTTTAGTAAAGGACCTACCCTTTCCCTGATACTCCCTTTGTTGTTGACATACTTGCAGAAATCCTTCATGTTCCTTGCTAGCTGCAACTCCAATTGTACTTTGGCCTTCCTGATTTCATTCCCGCATGCCTGGGCAATACTCTTATGCTCCTCCCTAGTTGTTTGTTGAAGTTTCCACTTCTTATAAGCTTCCTTTTTGTGATTTAATTAACTGAAGAGTTTCCTGCTAAGCCAAGCTGGCCTTCTGCCATACTTCCTAGTCTTCCTGTACATCAGGATGGTTTGTTCCTGTGCTCGCAGTATGATTTTCTAAAGTACATCCAACTCTCTGGGACTCCTCTCTCCCTCAGACTGACCTCCCAGGGCATCCTGCCCATGAGTTCCCTGAGTGAGCTGAAGTCTGCTTTTCTGAAGTCCAAACTCCATACTCTGTTGCTCTCCTCAATTAGTCACCTCCACAGTAACATCTCGTGTAGACATGCCCAATATATTCCCAAGTTCTGCCACTACTAGAACAGCAGTTGTTCCATCTGTCCATATCCCATTTTTTTTATCATATCAAAAAGAAGAAAAGTCTACCATAGTCATTCATTAACAGCTGTCTCTAGTTTTTCAATTCATAAAGAATATCTTGTATATTTCCAAAATGTTGCAGGAATGAGATGATAATACATAAACTAATCAGTTCATGGATTTCTAAAAGATTCCAATTCATAGTCTGTTGTATTTTTCCAGTGGTCCCACCTGTATTACAGGGATTTGCAAAATGTTGCATTATTGAATTCTGCTTTTGTTCCTTATTAACTGAGAAAAAATTCTGATTTAAAACAGCTAAGTATAGTAGTATGCAACTTTCAAAATCTCTCTTGAGTTGACAACCCCTTTCACAGCACGCCTTGTGTGGTTATAAAATATACTGAGCTACAACATAAATTACTAGACATGATTAGCAAACAGACAAAGTTGCAGGTAACCCAAACCCACTCATGTACTCTTGTATTCCTCATATAACATTTCTCCATCCATAACCCCTGGCTTCAATTTTTTTCTGTAACCTTTCTTTTTTACCCATAACCCCAGGTTCCAAATGAGCTCAGATTGCATTTCTTCAGTGGCAGTTTCCACAGTAGTTGGTGGTACTTCAGAACTTCCTGAGTGTCTACTGTCTTCTAAATTTGTATGTACACTTGAAAGGATTTCCTTGTTCAGTACTTCTGAGTCAGTACCCCACTGCCAAATTTAATCCTTTCCACATTCTTACTGCTCCCTACTTTCCTTCAAACTAATATAATTCAGTACAGGTACGTAGATCAATTCACACGTACATAAGCACTCTAGCTAAACTCAGCTGGCCCATGCTCTAAACTACAGCCAGAACTAGGTAATGTCGTTTCCACTGTGCCCACCAAACTCTATACAGAAGAGAATCTATCCTATTTTTCTTTTGCCATTATTAGGCATGGTTTGAAAATAAGACACATGGGCCATGCACAGACAGTCAAAAAGCCCAAGGCTGAATCAGTTCAGTCTTTGCAGGTTAGTCTAAGCTGCATAGATTGAACTGATAAGCAAGTGAACAGACATTCACTTTTGATTCTGGAAATGCAGCCACATGCCTGCAGTGGCTGACGCCAGAAGCTGGGGAGCAGGGGAAAGGCACAAGAAAATCCTTCCATGCTTGGCTGGAGCAGACAGCTTGGGCCAATGCCAGCCCACCCACCCTGTGGGAGGTGCAGAGGAGGTGCAAAGCATCCTGAGATACTGGGGGACTGTGAGTTAACTTGAAACCAGAGGGGACCTGGGACAGAAGTTCAATAATCCTATTTAACCTAAATCAATTAAGTTGGCTACTACATTCATCCAGGTTCATCGTAAACTGGTTTTGGCTTTTTGGAAAGCAATTTATGTGCACTGAAGGTCTGATGTGTAACAGATTTGAACTGGTTTTTGATCACATATCCCGGTTTGTGTAATTTCTGCTCCTAGCCTTGGTTATGTAATCAACTTTGCCTGAATGCACTTGAAAAGATCTCATTCATCAGTTGAATAAGTTTTGTTGAGGTTTATTGGTTAAACTGAACTAATGCACACACACATGCACATACACAGATCATAACAAATGAAGCACAAATTAAGTCTGTCCACTCCTCCTTCCTGAAATGAGGCCAGGTTATACTTAACATGCACCTTGGTAAACAAGTTTATTTAATCAAAGCCACATTGGTGGGTCATATACAGAACCTAATTAAGTACAAAGGCCAGTCCAGTTATTTTTGTGGTGAAAGCTGTCATCCAATACAAAAAAAGGCTGGCAGAATTGAGACCAAAATAAACATACATCCCTCAAGTTTCCCCACTGACATTTGAATGATGTCTATACATCACAAACACTGTACTGACACAGATGTATTGCAATAAGCTACAGACAAAAAAAAATCCACTCTGTACTTGAGATAGTTCTCTCTCTCAGTAATACCATTTTCAGGAGGTTACTTTTGGTTTCTACTAAGATAGTATTGGCCTTGAATTCCTTTGCTCAATTCTGTTTTTAAGATAAGTTAAGGGAACTGAGAACTGAATTGAGTTGCTCAGTTCTAGTGGCATTAGCTATAGCTAGACAGTCTATAAAGAGAGGAACAACCATTCTGAGTCTCATTCACAGCCTGACAGGTGCAGACAGAAGTGCAGCTCTGAGCTGTAGCTCAGAACCATTTCTGTAAAGTGTTCTGAGTTACAATGTTACCCCAGACCAAACAGAAGTTCACGGTTGGTTCCAGGGGTGAGGGGAATGTAGGTGCCAGCTGCGAGCCTGAAGCCAGGCTCCCATTGCAATGGCCATGGCCATGGCTCTCTGCCAGTTCTCACTGTTTTTCAGGATGGGAGGGGGGACAAGGCAGCAGAGGGAGCTTGTTCTTGGGGCTCCCCAGCTGGTGCTGAAGGGTGGGATGGGTGAATTGGAGCCCTCCCCACCTCAGGTGGGGGGTTTCTCCAATACTCTCACCTCTCCCTCCCGGGTGGGTTGAAAAACCTCCAGACTGAACTCCCTCCTCTCCCTTTCCCTCCCTCCCATTCTGAAAACAGCAACAGGCTGGAAGCTCTGCAGACGCAGGTTACAGAAAACGCTACATTTTGAAATGCCTTTATCTGATACCTCATGCAATGAGATGTCAGATTTTCATCCAATCAGCCATTTTTATAAGCTGTCTGCTGCCATGCACTTGTGTTTGATCATGGCTATAGACTGCTTTCTGTGACCAGATCTGGGTGACAATTGTCACTTCTTTCTGCACCCATAAATTGTGATTTTTCAAGGGTGGCATCTTCTTTACCTATCAGGAAAGGAGAAGATTTCCCAGGACATTTACAGAGGTGCATTAAGAACTGAACAAGTTCAGACCTGGGTTCAGGTTCTGTTTCTGCTCACAAGGTTCAGTGAAACATGTGGACCCCTGCTTCCTATTTCTCCAGGAACAACAGCCTGAAGGGTCTGGTCTCCTAGTTTCTGAAACTCTTTGGTACTAGCAACAAAGAACCTTCACTAATACCCAAAATGTAATTCACTTTACACTTTAATGCACCAAATGATGAAAACAAAAGGCGATAGAGACCCTTCAGGTAACAAGGCAGTGTTTGCTTTCATTACTAGACTCTGATTTCTACCTGACCTTATTTCCTTTGGGCAATAACCTGCAAGGTATTTAAATAAAGCTGCCAGATGCAGAAGTATTATCTTAAAACTGACATTTACTTACTGCAGTCACATGACATTGATCAGGGACACAAAGGGTTATTTTCCAACACTTACCAGGGTTTCACCCAGCCACTATTACTACAGCCCTTTGTCTCTCTCCATTCAGAATGGGAGCTTTGCCGGAGTAAAAGCTGCTCTAAAAGTTGGCTCTAAAACTTTAGAACAGGTTCATTTCTCAAATTAAAATGTTATAGGCCTCTTGCTGTCAGTGCAGTTTCCAGACACACCAAGTTGTTATCGCTTTTACTGACTCAACTGCCTACAACCCTCTCTGCAGCTGTGATGGTCCCATACAACAGTTCAAAGGTTTGTTGCACCCCTGGCTCCTAGGGAAACACCAACCATGGCTTATGGACAATATTTTCATTCTCCTCTACCCAGCTCTTTCAGCCAGGCCATTTAACTTTCCACTCCATCCAACTAAACTTTTATATGGCTCCATTTATGATTGCTACATCTGCCAAGACTCAGTCATAATTTTATTTGTCAGGCAAACTGTCACCGGGTTTAAAGCAGTTCTTATGTAAGACTGTGAAAGCTTCATTAAAAGAAACACTAAAAACCTTGGGGAAAGCACCTGTGGGAGGAAAACACACCAAGAAATGCAGAAACTGAGTTTCGAGTAAACCCCTGTAAGTAGAAGAGGAGAAATCTAGTGTCAAATGACCTCTGCAGGTCACCGTATTTTTCAGATGCAGATTGCAATAAATTACATGCAGCCTAAATTTAGTTGCTAGACACACATAATTATGTGGGAAACCTACATTACACATGCTTAAGCTGCCAGGGGGTCAGATGGGTCTGTAATTTATTTGATAGTAACCATATCCACAATAGTAGTGCTAAATTCCAGTATTAACATACAAAAAAAAAGTCATCACAGCTTTGGAAATTAATAAAACAGGAGTGCAGGGAAGGGAGTTGAGGGGGGCGGGGAAGGAAGCAGGTGGAAAACAGGTGGCAAGGCTAGTGACAGTTTCATCTTGGGCTTTTTTAGACAATGTTTTAGATGAAATTGCAATCTGGGTTTATTCCGTGCGCTGTTAGTTCACTGCCCTCTACTGACCATTTGTTAGATTAAACCACACGTGAGCTCTGTGCTCGCTCCCCACAGCAGCTGCTCATCCCCAATCCCCATTTCAGCATGAGAAGCACAGCATTAAAATTAGAAGGAGAAACCCTAACACATACTTCACCCTGGATGACCATTTTTTAAACACAGCTACATGCTCCAGGGAAATTTGGGTTCAATAATATACACTGGGACCGCTCCTTAAATAGAGGGAATATCATCTCCTTGTACATGATGGGTCTTGTGACTGAATTTAAGATCGAAACAAAGGGTCCTCTGCTTACTACTTCACTGTTAAAATAATGTATTCTTTTCTCTCTCAAGAACTAAAGTAAAAGTTACAATTTTGGCATATTAGGAGGAGGTATGGGAAAGTGAAATCAAGGCGAAAAGACACATCCTGACACTCAAGACAATTATTTACTTTGCAACCAGACTCTGATAATAACCAGGTTACTCGCAAGTTAAGGTAGTAAAGGTGAGTAAGGACAGCACAACACTGGGACACTAAAGCCCCACATACATGAGAAGCCTCTTGAAAATGATTTGTATAAATCTGTTAATTTTTTAACTGAGGCAAATGTAAATAGTATGCAAAACTGAGAAAACTCTTTTTCACATTTATAAATTTGAATCCAAGCCTTATACTCGATAGCACTCAATTGGGTTTTCTTTGCTAATAGACAAACAGTGCTAAAACCAGCGGAAAAAATTCTCTAGGTAAGATTCAGGTATATTTGTCACAATGCCATAAAATCCAGTAGTAGCACCATTTGAGCTAGAAATAATATAATATTTAGGAAAGCCTATACAACTCGGCGCTGTTCTTACAGTGGATAGCAGATGGCTGAATGCTGTAACTACATCCAGCCCCATGGAAGCCAAGTGACAGATCAAGGAACTATTATCTGAAAAAATGAGATGTAAATAATTAGAAGTGTTGTGGGAGGGGAAGAAAATTGGAGCCATCACTAAGAGCTGGCAGTAGCCTTGGCTCAAAGCTTGCCCCACACAGATTTTAAAATATAGGCAGCATTTTTTAATTATTTTTTATGTAATTTAAAGTACCGTAACTGGAGAACATGCAATGTGTCCAGCAGAGCTATACCTGGCAGGCATGCCCTTTGTACCCTAGGAAAAATGTACTCATCAGTAATGCAGTCTCTTTTGGAAAATATCAGATCCAATTCTCACTAGTGGAGATTTCAGAGATTTCGTAGACATCAGGGCTGGAGGGACCTTGGAAGCTCGAGTTCAGCCCCTTGCCCCAGGGGCAGGAAGTCAGCTAGTCTCATAGTCCATGGAAATAAGTGATGAAAACATTTCTTAAATGTGTGTGTGTGTGTGTGTGTGTGTGTGTGTGTGTGTGTGTGTGTGTGTGTGTGTGTGTGTGTGTGT